GGGCGCGGGCGGCCCCCGTCGCGGCCGCTGGCAGGCCTCCCTCCGCGCGCAGCCTCATAAAGGGCCCCGCCCTTCCAGCCCGGCGCGGCCGGCGCGGCATGGACGGGCGCCCCCCGTGAGCGCAGCCCGGGCGCAGGAGCGGGGCAGGCTCGCCGCCGCGGCCCTGCCCCATGCGCGGCGGAAGGAGGGCAGGCGCTTCCCGCGGGCCGAGGAGATGCCCCACGGAGCCACCCCGGCTGCCCCAGAGATAGCTGCCTGCCACCGAAGAGGCAGTGGCGCCCCCGCGGCAGGTATGCGGGGCCCGGCGCGGGCTGGGAGGGGCGGGCGGGCGGGCGGGCAGGAGCGGGGCAGGTGCCCCAGGCCTCCTCCGGCGGGCCGGGCCCGGCCCTTGGCCAGAGCGCCCCCCGGCCCCCCTCGCGCGTCTTCTTCCTCGCCGCCCCGGGGAGCCGCTCGGAGGGAAAGCAGAGCCGGCGGCGTCCCGGCCACAGACGTTCCAGCCCCCTCCGGGCGCCGCCGCCCCGTTCTGCCCTCCCCTGCCCAAGGCGGCACACCTTTTCTGCCGATCAGTCGATCGCAAGGGAGGCCAGCCGTGGCCGCGGGCCCCCGCAGCACGGGGCGAGCCGCCGTGGAGCCAGACCCCGGCCCACCTGGCCCGGTCCCGCCGACACGGACGGGCACGACGGCTCTTCCGCCGGCTCCCGGCTGGAATCTGCCCAGCCCTGCAGGAGAGGCTGGCGGGACCTTGGCCGACCCGTGCGCGTGCTCAGCCCTTCCTGAGGCCTGGGCCATGGCCCCTGACGGGCCTGGGCGCTGCCCCCCCCCCAGCCACAGCTGGGGGCCCTGGGGGCTCCCCCTGCGGGCGACTGGCCGGGCTGGGCAGTTGGCAGCCGCACCCGGGCCCGCCAGGCCGGCTGCTGCACTGCCCCGAGCTGGGCCTGCCCCTGGCCCTCGCGCTCCGGCCACACGTGCGCACCGGCCCTGCCCTGCCCCACGCCACGCCACGGGGCCCTCACGCGGTCTCTCTCCCTCAGCCGTGCCCCGTTCAGGCGCTCCCCTCCCTGCGGCGCGCCGGCCACCGGAAGATGAATGCGAGCCCCCAGGAAGCTTTGGTCTCCTTGTTTCTGCAGTTCATTGAGGATCGGGGCCGGTGGGCCTACAGGGCCCTGAGCCAGACGCGCCGCCCCCAGGAGCTGCCGCACAACGCAATGAACTTGCTGCACCGCAAGAGCAAGGTGGAGTGGAAACAGAGCAAGGACGACGAGCCCAGGAAGGGGTAAGCGGGCGGGCCGGGCCGGGGGCAGTGCTCCCGGCGGCCTCTGTGGCCACCCCAGCCAGGAGTCCTCCCGCGCCCGCTCCCGGAGAGCGTTCCGCCCCCTAGTGCGTCCACCCCGCCGGCCAGCAGAGGCCCACCCAGGGCTCACCTGCCACGCGCCTGACGAGCGTCACCGGGACGCCCTTTGGATGGGGGTGTGCTGGCGCCTGTGGCCCGTGTGGGACGCAAAGGACCGGCAAGGCTTCCCAGCTGGGGCGGGGTGGCCGCCAAGGGTACATGGCCTGCCCCAGCTCCGGCCACCTGCCTGCGTGGCCACAGGGCCACATCCTGGGCTCTGGAGGCGCGAGTGACCCGGAAGCCACAGGCCTGCCCAGGGCATTCACGAGCGCTTGCCCGGGACCAGAAGACACCCCACAAAATTGGCCCGGCTCGTGGCATTTCTGCCCCGTACCCGTTTGGAGGCCACCGTCTTCACGGCACAAGGCTGCAGCTGTGGCCCGGTCTTCTCTCCGCCTTCACTGGACGCGCTGCTGATCTTGCGCAAGGCCTAATTCAGCACTGCTCATGTTGTCATGTAACGTTGGGGTTTTTCTGGCTCCCCTTGGCAAGGGGCACGTGAACGGGATCGCCGCTGGGGCGGTGCGGCACCACACCTGCTTTTATGGTGAACTTGCAGCTGTTCCCCCGCAAGGCAGAGCTTCTCCCGGTCGTTTCGTGGCAGCCTCACCTGGCGGCTCAGCTCTCGAAAGCTTAGCCTCGCTGTCCCGGGTCCCAAGGCGGTTGCGAGGCGTGCCGTGGCGTGCAGCAGTGGCCCTGGCCCAGGGACTGGCCCCCTGCACGGTCTCTCCGAGGCGGTCAGAATGCCCAGTCCCCACCCCTGCCCCAGCCGCCCAGCTCTCCCCTTGCCAAAGCAGGCCGGGGGGGAGGCGGGGCCAGCTGTGCAGGTGTGGGCCTGAGCCCGCTTAGGGAGCAGGCACCTGGGTGGGGGATGAGAGGCGTGTCTCATGGGTGGCTTTGTGGCTCCCGGAGTCCTTGGCAGCGCCGTCCCGGTCCCTGGTCCCGGCATCCCGTCCTGTTCCGTTCCTGCAGCTTCTCTTCTTGCTCTGCCGGCTTGAAGGGCTCGGATAGTGACCCCCTGCCCCCATGCTTTGCAGGCTCCCCTCTGGGGGAAGGGGGGGCCCAGGTGGTCCTTTGGAAATCGGGGGGCTTTTGCTGAGGAGGAGGCGGAATGGGCCTGCGTGGGCCGGAAAGCCGCCGGAGGGACCGGTTGTTATGGGCCACGGGGCTCGGTGCCCGGGGCCGTGGGGGTCTGCCTCTTCCTCTTCCGGTGGGCTGAGGCAGGCCAGCTGGCGTCCGTGCTGGCTGGCAGAAAGGGGAGTGGGCCTTCCCTGGTCCTGCCGCCTGTGCCGCGTGGTCCGCCCAGGGACTCGGGATGTGGACAGGAGAGCAGCAGCTCGCGCCCTCCTCGTTCGCTCCCGCCTGACACCGCGTCTCTCGGAGGCGCGTTGGCAAGAAAGGTTTCCTTAAAGGGCTCCGTTTCCTGCGCCCGAGGAATGATTTACCTGGGCCATTTGGGCTTTGCAGGAGATGCGATGGCGGCCCGGCAACCGCTCCCCGTAGGAAGCGCAGCTGGTTACGTGCAACGGCCTGTGCCCAACCGGTTGCTCCGGATGTGGTGGAGTCCCGTCAAGTCCCGTCAGGCCTACCCATCGCGGCCGGTGGCCAGTGGCGCTGCCGTCGCCGCCCAGCTCTTCCGGCGGGCACGGGGTCGGGCAGGGTTGGTCTGCCACTTTCCACTCAGTCTTTCCTCCGTTTGCTGCCCAGCTGCCCCATGAGGCGGGTTGCCGGCTGATTCCCTTTTGCAGGGGAGGAACCGGGGCCACACTGTCCCCCCGGCTCTTTTCTTGGGACCACCCACTCCTGCTCCCCTCGGGGCTGCCCCCCTGGCAGCTTCCTCCCCTGAAACCCCGGAGGCCAGGCGACTCGGCCGCTGGGCACTGCCCTTGTCCCGGCGCAGGTGCGTTTTGCGTTGCCCAGCTTTTCCCACTGGGCACATCGAGTGTCTTACGAGCCCCAGCGGGCCGCCAGGCGCGCTCGCACACGGTCAGGACATCAGCTGAACATCTGGGAATGACGGGGGTCAAGTAGATGACCGACCTGGAGGGGGCGCTGCGAGGCTGTAGGCTCCAGGGTTGCACCTGGGCTGGTGGGAAGTCTGCAGGTGAAGGTAGTCGGCCGGTGAACGTTTGAAAAGGCAACGGACGACCGACTTGCAGGGAGCGGAAGCCGCTTCAGAGCTTTTCTGGGCCCCGGCAGGAGAAATGCTGCCTGGAAAGCCACACGGGGCCCCGCGATCCCGGGGTGCTTCCGCGGTCCCAGGATGGCATCCGGCCAATGGCAGCTCTTCTTTGCACGGCGGCTCCGTGCAGCGGAAGAACACCGGTGCCCCGGAGCGCCTGCGGGGGCTGCCTTCTGGGGGCAGGGGGCAGAGGAAGGGAAGCCCACAGCTCTGAGGTGCCGGAAGACCCTGGGCAGACCGTGCTGCGCTTCCCCCGGCAGCCCGCCCAGAGCCGCCCCCCGGAGGCACTGCCTTCGTCTCGTGGGACCCTCCCTGCCGCCTGGGCAAGCGGGCAGTGGCCATGTCCCTCCCTCCGGGGGCTTCCCACCAACCAGCCACCAGGTCGCAAGCCCCCCATGGCCTCTCGGCACCCAGCAGCCAGGGGTGACGCCTCCCCAGTGCCCGCGTCCTGCTGCAGCGCGCCTGAGCATGCGCCGGTGAGGCCGCGGGCTGACCCCCGGGGCCCAGCCCTGGCCCGATGTCGGGGCCCGTTCCTCCAAGGGTGGCACCTTGCTCGGGCCCCACTCAGTCCTGAACCCTCCTCGGCAGACGCCGCCGCTTCCGCTGCCGGATCAGGTCCCTGTGCGTGCCCTTGCCGGGTGGCGCTCTGCCCTGCCCCTCGCTTCGGTTCACCGAGGTGGCTGTGGGGCTTGTCCCGGCCCGGCCCGGCCCGGCCACCCGTGCACGGTGCAGCTGGCCAGAAGATGGGCTCCTCTCGGCCACGTCCCTCGCCTGCCCCGGACGAGCCGGACCCATCCCAGCACCCCCCCCCCGCCCAGTTCACAGGAAGTGAAGGGTTAAGGCACCGCACGGCAGGCTGATGTTGCCCGACTCCGGCAGGTCACCCAGACGCAGTTTCCATGGAAACCACTGGGCCATCAGCCAGCATCCTGCTGCATCCTCATGCTTTTGGTACCCAGGACCCTTCACTCCCGTGAATAAAATGGGGGGGCAGTTTTGCCCACGAGGAGCAGAGGAGGTGTGGCTGGGAAGGCAGCACGGGGCCGGGGAGGGTGTGTCGTCAGCCACGGGAAGGAAAGGTGCTGGTGGTGCTGTGGGGATCCTTGGATGGGCGCACGGCGGAGCGGAGAGGGAGCGGCTGCCATGAACGGTGGGCTTGTGGGGGTCCTGAAACACAGACCCAAAGCGGGATGGCGGTGCCTCCTGGCCCAGCTGCGCACGCAGAGGTCTCGAGCACCCGTGTTGCCGGCGCACGGTCTCCGGTTGCGACTGGGGAGGACGCCCGCCTTGCCCCCAGCCGGCCCGGGGCACCGGGCACCTCCCGACAGAGCTGGAGAGCTGCGAAGCCGCGCACTTCCCCCGAGACTTGCCAAAGACCAGCTCGTGGGGCGCGAGGGCCTCTTGCCTCCCTCTGAAACGTGCCCGTTGGAGGTGGCCGGTGAGTCTTTCTAGACATCGGCGGCCTCGGCTTGGGCCTGTGAGTGGAGAAGCAGGAGCGGCCACGGGGCCGGAGTGGGTCGGCCTGGGCCGGCCCAGCTGCATCGCCGCGAGCGGAGGGGATGCGCTCGGGGCAAAACGGGCACGGCAGCTTGGGGGAGACTGACACGCACGTGTGGGCTGAATGGGGGGGAGGTCTGGGGAACCCGAGGGGAGCGATGGACAAGGCTGGATGGGTTGCTGGGGGGCGCGAAGGAGGCTTGCTTCTGACCCGCTTGCCCGGCTGCTTCCCCGCGGCCTGCCGGAATAACGGGAGGTGGGGCCTGGCGGTGCCGGCCTGGCTGCGTCCGGGTCAGCGCCTTGGGGACCGGGGCAGCCGAGGGGGTGCTGACACCCCCGAGGCATCAGCTGCTGGCACACCTGCCCCCCTGCTGCCGGCCCCAGAGAGGACACGGCTGTGGGCTGCGGCTGTGCGGCCTCGGCTCGGACACGGCAGCGGTGGGCGTCGGAATCGGGGAACGGTGAGGGGCCCCTCCCGGCCCGCCGTGCTTCCCTGGCTGCAGCCGGACACGCTGCAGTGCATTCCTCTGCCGTTTGCTCCCGGGGCGCGACCTGTGTGAGGCCGTGGCAGGGGCCGTGGCGGCTGGGGCCCAGGACGCCGGCGGTGGGCCCGGGTGGAGCGCTGGTAGCGGGGTGGATCTGCCCGGCCTGCTCTGCTTGGCGTGATTGGTGGCTCACAGCTGCTCTGCTTTGCCCGGAAAGACAGGAATCCCCCCTCCCCATTAAGGGGCCTCTTGTGCGAGGAGGGGGGTCCTGCTTGCAGGCACAGGAGCTTCCCGAGCATCAACATCTCCTGTGGACGTGTGAAGCTGGGGCACCGTCTTTACGACGCGGCACCTTGGGAGACGAGGGGCGTTTCCTGGGGCCATTTTCTCCTGAGCAGGAGTGGCACCGTGTGCTTTACGCTTCTCTGCGTGGGGGGGGGGGCTGCCACCGGGCCGGGGATCGGGGCTCCTCTGGGTGGGGGGCGCCCCGGCACCTGTCTGGAGTGAGCTCTGTCTGCGCTGCGACACGTGGAGCATCCGTGGCAGCAAAAGGGCCTCCAGAAGGACGCGCCCGAGGCCGCCCGTTTCCCTCGCGCCCCTCTGCCCCCTTCCCTGCCCCTGAGCTCTGGCCGTGACTGTGCAGAGACGCGGCGATCCGGTCCGCCAATGGCAGAAGCCCGCTGCGTGGCCGGGGGCACCCACGGATGCGGCGCTGCCCTCCCTCGGGACGGCTGGCCAGCCAGCGAGCGGGTGGGAAGTGGGCTGGCCGGCCAGCGAGGGCAGCCAGAGCACCGGGGCTCCCGCTTGTTCTCCGGCCAGAAGAGCGGGGCCGGAGGGGATCCCGGGAAGCGTGGCTCAGGGCCGCGTCACCCCCTTCGGGGAGAGCCGCCGCGTGGGGCCCTCCGTCCTCCGGGCGAGGGGCCCTCGGCCGGCCGCGCTGTGGCGGGGTCCCGGCGGGCCGTGGCAGGAGGCTCCCTGCCCGGGGCTGCCCTCAGCCCCCGCGCTCCCTCCCCGCACAGGTCGGCCAAGGAGCCCGGCGTGGGCCGGGTGCGGGACGCAGCCTCCTTCCGGCGCCACTTCAGGATGGGGTTCATGACCATGCCGGCCTCGCAGGACCACACGCCGCACCCCTGCGCCAGCAGCATGACCCCCCGCTCCCTGTCCTGCCACTCCGTGGGCAGCATGGACAGCAGTTCGGGGGACGGGGCCGCCGGCCCCCACAAGCCCCCGGCGAAGCCCCAGCGCCGGCCCAGCACCAAGCTCAGCGCGGAGGCCCGGACCGCCCCGGAGCCCGTGGGGAGCCGGAAAGGAGGTAAGGGGGCTCGGCCCCACCCCTCCACCGGAGACCGGGGGTGCAGAGAGTGTGGGCGGGGCCGGGGGGGGCTGCGTGCCGGCCGGGCCGAGGGGCGCAAGGCAGCTGCGGAGCACGGGGAGGCGGAGGCGCGGGAGAGCCAGGCCTGCGAGGGGGGCGCTGGCTGACCCCGCTGGCGGGCCGCAGTCCTTGCTGGGAAGTGATGCCTGCGGCTGGGCGTGCCCCCGATACAGGCGCGAGGGCTGCCCCGGAGGCGTCTGGGGTGCCCCTCTCCGGCCCCAGCAGCTCCTCGCCTGCCCGCGTGCGCCGCCTCCGCCACCCGCACCCCGCCGGCACGCTCCACGCTGCTCCCCCATGTGGCTGTTTCCAGCAGGGCCCCAGAAGCCGGGTGCAGAGGGCCGGGAGCCTGGGCGTAAGGTGCCCCCGCAGAAGCCGAAGCGCAGCCCCAGCACCCACCTGTCCGTCTCCCTCGACGAGGCGCACACCGGGCGGCTGCCGGGCCCCGCGGCCGGGGGAGCCATGCAGCGCTACGGGCGCGCCTCCCCCCGCGGTCGGGCGAAGGACTCCGGCCCCGAGGGGGACGAGCCGGTGTACATCGAGATGGTGGGGGACATCTTCCGGGGGCCCGGGCCGCCCGCGCAGCTGCCGGCCACGGCGGACGAGGACTCCGACGAGAGCGAGGCCATTTACGAAGAGATGAAGTACCCGCTTCCCGAGGAGGGTGGGGAGGCCCGCCCCAACGGGGCCCCGGGCTCCCCGCATCAGCGGCCCGCCAAGCGGGAGGCCGCAAAGGCCGCGACAAGCGCCAAGACGTCCCCGTGCGAGATCCCGCCGCCCTTCCCGAACCTGCTGCAGCACCGCCCCCCGCTGCTGGCCTTCCCCCAGGGCAAGCAGGGGTACAAGGCGGCCGGCCAGGACGGCTCCCGGCTGCCCGTGCCGTGCCACGCGAAGGAGGGCCCCCCCACGCCCATGACGCCCCAGGCCCCCGGGCACCACCACCCGCGGGGGGGCGAGGGCGCCGGCCTGGGTCCCTCCGGCCGTGCTCGCAGCCACTCCACGCCGCTGCCCCCGCAGCCCACGGGCCAGAGCAAAGCGGAGAAGGACATCCCCAACTCGCACAGCATGATCTGCCCCCCGGCCAAGCCGGCCCCCGCGCCCCCCGCGGCCCCTGTCCCGTCCATGCTGCCGGTGAAGGAGAGGCCGGCGGTCTCCTACACCATGCTGTACTCGGCGGTCAAGGTCACGACGCACGGGGCCCCGGCCGAGCAGCAGGCGGAGAAGGAGATCGCGGTGCTCCACGGCATGCTGTGCGCGCGCCCGGCCGCCGTGCCCACCTGCAAGCCGGGGCAGCGGCTGAGCGCCCTGCCCGAGCCGCCGCCGCTGGGCATGGTTTGGACGTACCCCGCGCCCTGCGTGGGGATGAAGCGCCCGCCGGCCTATGAGAGCGTCCGCGGCGCGGGGGCCAAGGCCTCGTCGGCCGTGAAGATCCAGCTGCAGGACCGGGCCTTCGCCAGCATCGCCTGCTCCCACGTGCTGTCCGGGGACACGGGCGGCCGGCCGGCGGGGGAGGAGGAGCCCTTCGGATGGGTGCTGCAGAGGCGAGCGGGCTTCGCGGGCCGGAAGGGAAAGGAGGCAGAGGGTGAGTGCCGTGGCGCGGGCCCCGCGGAGCCCAGGCCGCCTCGGGGGCGGGACGGGCGGCGGGTGCCGAGGCCGTCGCCTCCCCGGCCTGCCCGGGCAGACCGAGCCTCTCCCGCCGGAGGAAGGGCCCTCCGGGCGCAGTCCTGGGGCACCTGCCGCTCGGCCGGGGCCGTGGAGCGGGGCAGCTTCTGCTCCGTGCCTGCATGGGGCTGCCGGGAAGAGCGGTCCTCCTGGGGACTCCTCTCCAGGGTTTTGCAGAGCGACGGGGGCCCTGTCCTCATGCAAGGCCAGGCACGTCTGGCACTGCCCCGGAGCGGCTGCCGAGGGCCAGGCCTCGCCCGAGAGGCCTCTGCCCCCGGCCTGCCTGCCACCGCCGCCCCAGCGCTCTCCCGCCCTTGCAGGTGCCACGGAGGGCCCCCAGGCCTGGGACAGGAGCGACGGCGCGCAGGCCAAGGCGGAGAAGGAGGAGAAAGGCCCGCCGGCCGCGCTGCACTCGGGAATCCCTGTGCGCGCCCCGGGACCCGAAGGGCTCGCCACCAGGGCCGCAGGGGGGAGGACGGGCCTGCCCATCCCCTGCCAGACCTTCCCCGCCTGCCACCGTAACGGAGGTGAGCCTGGGAGCAGGCCGCGGGCGCCCGGGGGGCACGGGATCCCGGCGTGTGCTCGGGCTGCAGACGCGGCCGGCCGCAGAGGAGCAGGCGACCTTCAGAGAGGGCGGGCGGGGCGGGCGAGCGGAGGGGCGGCTCCTCCTGGCCGGGGGCTTCCCCGCAGGCCAAGGGAAGGGGCGAGAGGCGGGGGCCCCTTCCCCCGGCCGTGCCCCCGTGCGCCGCGACCCGCACGCCTCTGACCGGCCAGGGCAGGGATGAGGCCTGCAGGGCTGGGGGCCTCCGGGCCGCGCTGCTCAAGAGCTCGCTTCCTGCCCCCAACCCAGATTTCACCGGCGGCTTCCTCCTGGGCCGCTCCGCCTCCACCTCTGGCGTCCGGCACGCGGTGGCTCATGCGCAGAGGCCGTGCGGCCACCCCCGGGACCCAGCCAGCTTGGTACGTCGGGGCCGGGGGCTTGCGGAGCCGGCAGAGGGAGGGCGCCTGGGCGCGCTCAGCGGACGAGCTCGGTGGGCCGGGCAGCTTGCCGCTTTGGGACGCGGGGGAGGCCGGGTGGGTGAGCTGGGACACGGAGGGCCACCTTCCGGGCACCCTGCACAGCGCCGCGGGGGGAAGGCGGCGGGGGGGCTGTCAGTCGTGAGCGGCCTCCTGGCAGCAGACAGGCAGGAAGGCCGTTGTGGCAGCAGCCGGCACGGGTGAGGCGCGTCCGTGCCCTCTGCTTCCGGTGGGGGAGGGAGCTGGGGGGGGCACCGATCCGTGCGGCTGCTTCTGCTCTCCTGGGCTTGGGAGTCCTGCTAAGACTGGCCTGCCGCGACGTTTTCGCTGAAACGGGAGGGGGGAGATGTGGGGAGGGGCCCCACCTGCCTCGGCCGGTCCACTTCCCGGCGAGGCTGCCAGGCGGGCACAGCACTGCCGCTGGCTTGCCTCGCCCCGAAGCTCTTGCGTGGCGCCCCCTCTTCTCTGGGGGGAGTGCCGGTCCAGTCCCCGCCGCAGCTGCCCCTCTTTCCCGCAGGCCTTGCAGCAGGCCCAGCTGCCCGTGCCGGGGGCCTCGCAGAGCGCGCGCGAGCGGGACGGCAAGCTGCTGGAGGTGATCGAGCGCAAGCGCTGCGTGTGCAAGGAGATCAAGGCGCGGCACCGCCCGGAGCGCAGCCTCTGCAAGCAGGAGAGCATGCCCATCCTGCCCAGCTGGCGGAGGAGCACGGAGAGCCGCAAGTCCGGGACGCCGCCCTGCCGCCGCCAGCAGACAGTGCTGTGGGACACGGCCATATGACGGGGCCGAGCCTCGGGAACCCGTGCCTTGTACTGGCCAGGCTGAGCGCGTCGCGGGGCTCACTGCCGGCAGCCTGGTGCCCTGCCCGCGCCCCGCGGCCTGGGACTGGGACTGGGACTGGCCAGAGACCGCGGGCCGCTTGGGCCGCCCCACCGAGCCGCGGCTGGGGAGAAGCCGGAGGGGGAGCAGCGCCTGCCCCCTGGACGACGTGAGGCGGACCTCCCGCAAGTGCCCAGGGCCCCCCTCCACGTCCGAGGCAAGCCGCCCGCCCGCCCGCCTTTCCGACGCAGCCCCCCCAGCCCAGCCCAGCCCTCGCCTCGCCTCGCCTCGCCGGCAGCTGCGTCGGTGCCAGCAGACTGACACGCAGGGCCCCGTCCCTCGCCTTCCAGGGGCCGCGGGGACAGGTGTGGCCACAGCGTGGTTTCGTGTGTCAGGTTCGATGACAATGTCGCCGCCTCCTTTGCTACCTGATGCCGGAGGCAGAAGTGCCAGGAGCACTTTGAGCCTCGCGTGGGTTACCTTCGGCTGCAGGAGGGGGGGACTGCCAGCCTCACAATGCCTGAGCCAGTTTGGGAGGAAATGGGAGGGAGGGGCTGAGCTCCCAGACCGGCAGTGCTGAGTCTGGTCAGTCAATCACGGGGTGGGGGGAGCCACGACCCAAGGGCAGAAAGCGGAACAAGCGGAAGCGGGGAGAGCCTGGGAGTCGGTTCTGTGGCACACGAAAGAGTTGCCCTTCATCTTTCGCCTGCATAGCTGGCGCCCTTGCCTGCCGCCAGGTCTCGGCTCTCTAAAAAGAGACAAACTGTCGCTTACAAAATGAAATAAAAAGGCGAAATGACCTTACTTTCAACGCAACAGCGAAAGTATAAAATGCAATTTTTTAATTGCTCAAGTCTGAGGGACGGAAGCAAAATTTCGGTGGAAAATGCACTTCTTTGGATGCCTCTACCCGGCAGCAAGAGCAGCAGCAACAAAACCCAGACCTGCTTCAGGAATGCTTTTCCACGTAGCAAATCAGTTAATTTACTTTCATGGTCACAGGTGTGACTTCCTTGCAGTGTCCTTTTTATTTCCGCTTCCTGTCCGTTTTTTGTTTTCTGGCTCGTTTTTCCTTGCTTGAAAGCAGGTGTGGCTAATTTTATCAACAGAAGGCACCAAAATGTATTTTTCCACCTCCTGTCGATTCTTCTTACTTAAGGCTACCTACAAAATTTCTTTAAGCTAATTCTTTTTTTCCTGCCAAGGAAACAAAATAGGAAATTGGAGATGTTTGAGAAGACGTCTCAGGAAATGCCATACTTCTGGGTGCTGGCTTGACCTACGGAACAAGCGGTATGCCACAGTCCGTTGTCGTCCGATGGACGCTTCCTTGTCAAGAAAGCACGGATGGGCGAACCCCTCACTGGGGGTTAGTAGACGAAATGCCCGCGTTCTCGGCCCCACCTGGCTCCCCTCTCTGGGTTTTATTCCCAGCCGGTCCGACACAGGGTAAAGAACACGATGCAGCCTAGTGCCAGGCTCCGTTGGACACTGCATTAGGCGCTCCAGAAAGGAGTATTTCGACTGTGCCCGCTTCCTGAGTATTTCGACCCCCGTGCCACAAGGCCTCCGGCCTCCTCCCAGCACTCGGTGGCTCACGCCGGTGTGGATCCTTGAGCGGCCGGGTGCTGGGACCGTGACATCGCCCCCTCCACCCTGCTCTCCAGAAGTGCCCGCCCGCTCGCCCGCCCCCCTCCCTGCCCCGTCCCATCCTCTCCACTTCTCCCCCTTGCTTGTCCCCCCGCTCCTCTGGATGTGCCCCCACACACATACCAGGCCCGCCCTCGCAGTGGGGCGCCAGCCTCTCCCCTCCCCGCCACCCAGGTCAGGGACTTCATGGTCCTCGGCAGCTGCCGTGTGGATCACTTGATAGCAGACGACCAGAGAAGCCTCTGCGAACGCCCGAAATTACCTTTGGTTTATCTCCATCTCATCAGCCAGCCTAAATGGAGGACGAGGGTTGTAGAACCTGCTCATTTTTTTGTTATTTAATGTATGTCTGAATCTCCGGACGCATTTCGCAGGTTGTCAGGCATCTTTTGTTCTGTCTTCCGCTCACGGGCAGAATCGGCTCTTTTAGGGAAGTGTGAGAATTCCGTTCCGGTGAGCAAGAGCGTTGGTGCCCCTCCACACTTGTGCAAATCTCTCCGCAAAGTTGCACGGCTCGGACCGCGCATCCATGGCATTTGCCTGGCTCGGGGAAGGCCAGCCCGCCGTGGGATCCTCTGAACTCTGTGCCGGATGCTCCAACGTTCCCCTCTCCCTTCCCCTCTCCACCCAAGGCGTGCTTGGGACAATTGGCAATAATTCGAAATCGTCGAAATCGTCCAAACAGAACAAGTCTAAAATTAAAGCAAAAGTGATAAATCGTGTTGCAATACGCAGGAATCTCCTAAAATCTCCGAGTGGCTTGGAGGAAAGTGCAGCTCTTGCTATCCATGCAAAGGCCGTGGTTGCCGGTTCCTGGGAAGAGGGCTCTGCCACTGGGACACGCTCCGCGGAAGCCCATCTCCAGACAACGCCTCACCCGGCACCACCGACCCCTTCCCTTCTACTTCTGCTCCCGACTGTGAATCCATCAGCCACAACTTCCTGCTAGCGTCCACAAGACACGGCTGGACCGGTTGGGGCGCTGGCACGAATGCGATTATGGTTCAATTAGGGTTACAAAAAGGAAGAGTTAAAGTACATGGTGCCACTGTGGGGCTGAAGGAAACCCCAGATGGGACTCCTGGGTTTTATGCTCTAACCCAATTTAAATATTTCACAGGATTGTCTAGCGTAGCAAGATGATGAAGCCGCTTTGCAAAAATATTTATGCTGGGGATCCATGGGAGGGTATTTATATATTAAAATGGTGGAAAGCAAATAAAATGTCACGATGGGTTGCTTCTCTGTGGACTAGTTTCTTGTGCTTAAATCTTGGTTTTGCTTTCATCTTTAAAAAAGCAGAAGAGGAAACACTCTATTTGCAGCAAACATGTTGCTGTTTTGTGCTGTCGGTTCCAGAGCGTTGGTTCTCTTCTGTTACTCTTCAGCTGTGAGCAAAGTACGGGAGAGCAAAGGCACGGCACAACATTCGGTGGATTTGTTGGAGGAGCTGACGACATGCGCGTGGCGGGCATGTCGTGAGCGCAGCCGGCTGGTGCCGTAGGTCAGCCTAGATGGCCCAGGAGGCCCCTTTTGACTCGCTCTGTTTCTGTGTTTCTGCTTGGGGCAAGACCACAGAAACCACAGAAATCGAGTGGAGCCGCTCAGAACTCGCGTCTGCTGGAACGCACTTGGATTTTCCGCCGCTTCACACAGAGCCCTCCTCACCTCCTGCTGGTTCCTGTGGATTCTGCGTCTCGCCCACCTCAGCTGTCAGATTAGGAGGCCGATGTCCACAGCTGGCACAGCAGGAGCGGATGGGGTGATGGAAGGGAATCACCTCGGCCTCCATGCGGGAGGACCAGAGGCGGAGGCAGAGCCAGAAGCGGTGAGGGTCGGGCAGGGAGCAGGGCCTTCCAGAGGCAGAGCCAGGAAGCGGTGAGAGTCGGGCAGGGAGCAGGGCCTTCCAGAGGCGGAGGCAGAGCCAGGAAGCGGTGAGGGTCAGGCAGGGAGCAGGGCCTTCCAGAGGCGGAGGCAGAGCCAGGAAGCGGTGAGGGTCGGGCAGGGAGCAGGGCCTTCCAGAGGCGGAGGCAGAGCCAGGAAGCGGTGAGGGTCAGGCAGGGAGCAGGGCCTTCCGGAGGCGGAGCCAGGAAGCGGTGAGGGTCAGGCAGGGAGCAGGGCCTTCCAGAGGCGGAGGCGGAGCCAGGAAGCGGTGAGGGTCGGGCAGGGAGCAGGGCCTTCCAGAGGCGGAGGCGGAGCCAGGAGCGGGCCAGGGCGATGTCGCTCCGAAGGCACCAGCCCAGGCAGGATCGGGAACGCGCAGCGGCCGCCCTGAAGGCCCATGTGGACAGCCGGGCGGAGTGGCACAGCCCTGCTCCCAGCTGCCCTGCGGGGCTGCCCAGGTTCCAACCGTTTGCCGGCAGGACAGGCCCGTCCCGGCCCCTCATCCAGGTTCCCATCCCGACAAGAGCAAGTTCCTCCTTGGCGGAGTACAGCTGCCAACCACAGGCGTGTCCGTATTTGCACATCTCTTATTTTTATCAGAATGGATTTCCCCAGGGTAAACGACATGGGCGCTTATGCGCATCGATGCTCCTTGCACCGCTATCAACAGATCTTTCCGCAGAAGCCTCTGTAAGGCTCGTGTCTGATAAAGTCGCCGCTGCAGGCAGGGCGGGATCAAGCATTCCTGTTCCGACCTGAGCAGGAGTGGCCCTCGCGCTCCGGGCCTCGTCCGTCGTGCTCGCGCTCCGCATGTCTCGCTCCGAGGTGGGGAGCGCCCCTCCTAAGTGCGTTGCTTGCCTATCGTGGCATGGCCCCCGCCCCCAGTGCACCTTCAGTTTCCCAAAGGTGTCCAAGTTACTGGCCGCCGCCTCTCGTGGGGACCGACCCTGCAGGTCAAGCAGCGTTACCGGCACGTCCCATCTCCTGTTTCACGCAAGGCTGTGTGATGATTAATACCTTGGCTGGCTTTTCTGAATCCGCCAGAATCTGCCCCCTTGAAGGCAAGGGGGGCCTCTCCCAAGGGGCAGCAGCATGCAGGTGCCCGGAGTCCATCCTGAAACGCCATCGCTGCTCCGAGTCCCAGCTTGGCCAAGGCGGCCGGCCGTGTGGGCTGCGGCCACGGGCACACGCAGCCTTGGGCACGGGGGTGCGAGAAGCAAGGATCGCCGGATGCTGGTGTGGGGGGTCTGGTGCCGAGGCCGAGCGGCGGCGTTGGAGAAGACGGAGTGCGGAGCACTCGGCGACTGACCCAGTCCCAATTCGGAGGGGTGTGCCCACTCCCGCATCCTCACACAGTGGATGCGCATGCATGTTGCTCGCTCGCTTGCTTCATGGATTTAAGCATTTTTGCTGTGCTTGTCAGCTCC